AGACATCGATCAGCCGCCTCCTGCACATCCCCCACTGGGGATGTGCCCGCAACCCAGGTACATGCCCTTGACCGGAATCGAACCCGGGACCTTTCAGTCTGCAGGCCGACGCTCTATCCACTGAGCCAAACCGGTTTCGGCTATAATTTTCCTTTTTAATTTACGTAACTAATATTTAAATTCATAAGAGTCCACAAAGACTATAGGATTTATCACATTTAGGAGGTTTTCAATGAACCTTTGAGCCCAAATAAATAAATAAATAAAAATAAAATAAAAAACTCCAAGAATAATGGAGATTTAAATGTTGTTGTGTTTTCTTTTTGTTTATAGAAAAGACTGAGCTGACACAAATGTCTAAGATATTTGTTTTATTTGCAAATAAAATCTCTATAGTCTTGTAGTTCAAACCACACCAATTTATCTAAAACTTAAAGAATTATTTGTCAAACTAAACATTGCCTCTCAGTCTTCAGGTACAACTGTAGAAACTAGCTAAGTGAGTGAATACACAGAGACCTTGATCTTTCTGATTCCAAGAACCACATATTATACTTTCCCAAATATAAGTTCTGTTTTGACATGTTAATCTTATGTCATAATATCTATTACTATTCTTCTTACTGGTAAGAAAAAAGATAAACTAAAAAATGCATTAATGTCCCTTGTGTTATATCAAAATGTGGAATATCAAAATGTTAATATATTTCATGTGTGAAAATCTGAAAATATTCTCATAACCGTCTAACTGCCAAAGTGAAACTATACAAATATTCCTGGAAGTCTAGCTGCCATGAGAGTTGATCTCTGTTGCTTTGGTGAAGTGCAAAAAACAGCCAATGTCACTGATAAGATACGGCTGTCAAAGTTAGGATTATTAGCCAGACCATTCAGACACATCATTGGAGCTGACACTTTTTAAAAAGAAACCAAGAATCCTTTAAATTCTATTTCAGTGCCTCTTGAAAATGTTTAATCAAAATTAGAGCAATCCAAACATATCTACTGCTTAGAATATGCAAGTTCATTGTCCTAAAATTGTAAAGTCCCTATTATCTGATATCACATCACAGAGAAAGTAGACAGATAGCCTCTGCCATATCCAATTTAAAGTACAAGTCTTAACTCTAATTGGACAAAAAAAAAAAAAAAAGAGAGAGAGAGAAACAGGTGTTTTTCATTTTAGCACTTCATTTGTCACTTGTGGAAACTCTAAATTTTATCAGTAAAGGTTTGACTTATAGTGAACCTGAGGTGAGTGAAAAATCTCTTTATGCTGTCCCCCATTTCCTTTAAAAGATAGCAGACCACCATTCTTTACCCGTCAGGCTGTAAATAATGTCAGTCCGTCTCTCTGCTTTTATTTTCCCTCCTTCTCTCTGATTCATTCTGCACTCCACTACAGGACTGATGCTCCTAAAATATCATTTGGTTCACATTATTCTTTGGCTTAAAAGTACTTCCTGTCTCTTACCTCTTCAGGATTTTTATCCAAGACCCTTCATTTCACATTTAAGGTCAATTATTTCACCACCTTTCACTTTTTACATCTACTCTGTCACTATTACCTGTAAACAAACCTCCTGTAGTAATGAGCTAAATGTTCCCCTCATGCTCTTTCTGGAGAGTGTGATTTTGTATTGTTTTGTGTTCATGGAATATCCTTCCCCCACTCCTTAGCACTCTAAGAATTAGACAAAATAACATCTCCACAAAAAGTTCGCTGGGAATACCCCCATAAAGACTTCTCTTCCTCCCTGTGATTTCTCCTTACACGGATATTCTTCATTGATCATGTATTTCCTTGGGCCATCTTTGAACTTATTATTTAAAGTAAATGCTTCAAACCCTTTACAGTTTTTATGCACTGACATGGTCTCCAAAAGCAGACCATGGATTCCTTGAAGGCAGTGGCCATTTCCTAAATCCTTTTAATCAATTTTGATAGTTAGCACAGTGACCTTCATAAAATAAGGTTATAATTAGTGTTCCCTAAATCAAGGATTTCTACAATATTTTACAAGTAGACTGTATATATGAGGAAACTGAGGTCCAAAATCATTCATTGACATGCTCAAGGTTTGGTTTGCTTGATTATTAAAGATCTTTTCTATGTATACCAAAGTTACATTATTTTTTCTTAATTGGTTGTTACTAAGCCAAGTAATGCATGAAATCCACTGACTTTAATAAAGTGTGTGTATATATATATATATACTAAGAGTGTATGTATATACATATGATTACATATGTGTATATATATATATATATACATATATATATATATATATAAAACATAGGCATAAACAACTAAAGTTTCTTTACAGATACTGATATTTCAAGGGAAACTCTAAAGATCTAAATTTTAATGATTTATAAAGTAAAAAAACAATATTCAAGAATTGTGATGATAATGGGGATATTAATATTTTTAATGCACTTATAGTGACATGACCAATATTCTAGAGAGAATCAAATATTACAAAAGTTTCATGTCCTATTAAAATATTATCTTCTGCAACATAGAACTATAAACAAATAATAGTAAATTTATATTTTTCCATGAAAGTGGATACATAGCTCAATTTAATTCCTGTGATATTTAAAATGTAGTGGATAATTGCAAGTTCAACTTTATGCTGACGTTTTTAATATGCTAGTATGTGAAAAATATGTAGAAATAATATTACTGAAGACAAATTAATACATATTTTTAAATCAATGGTAACTTGGGTTCTGGTTAAAGTTAGCTTGACATACATTGGATTTGTCCCTTCAAAGTACTTTATCTCTGGGCAGTTTAACGTTAATGTTACACATTGTCACTTACCATCTTTCAGGATGGTTTCTCGCTCTGTGCCATCTATCTTCTGCCGGCCAATTAGGAAACTGGTGGTGTCAGCAAAGTAGATATAATTGGTTTCTGCATGAAAATCTAAAGCTCGAGGGTTTACCAGATTTTCTATGGGGATCATGTATTCATCAGCTATCTTGGTATTCAAGTCCATTCCTCTAACAATTCCTGGGCGTCCTTTCCCATAAAAAAGGAACAACTCATTCTTGGGTCCTGCAGAATGAAGATTACAAACATAAACAACTGATGCTGCCTAATCTTCTTTGCACTGCATAATGCCACTGTTTAATTAACTGGCACAATTAGCATTTTTAAAATTCAATACCAAAAATTAAACTCTAAAATATGCCAAATGTATCTTGATGCAAGAAGGCCAGTTAACTGCATTACTTTAATTAAAACAGAAATTACTTCCGTGAATGGGTTATATTTAGTTAATTTTTTTGTCTGTGTCAGTATAGCAAAATAAAAAAAAAAAAAAGAAAGAAAGATCATTGGAAAACTTGTAACTGTAAAATGGACATTTATCAAAACATCCGGCACATTTAATTTTACAATTCATTATAATTTATCTAACACGTTTTGCAGATACCAATTATAGAATCCATTATGTTTGACAATGCTAACACTTCAGAATAGATAAAACATTCTCCCCACCCCTCAGAGTTTGCATCTACAAACTGTTAGAGGTAAACAAAGCACTCGCACAGCATCACATACTTACATGTGAATATGTGACAATTATTTAATCATGTGATTTATATTTTTAAGAAATTAAATCAAATGCCAGTTACAGCATCACTTTTTTCTTTGCATCTTAATTAATATGTTAGAGGTCAGTGCCAGTAACTCTGATGTGCAACACTGCCGTTGTCAAAAACAAAACAAAATAAAAACAAAAGCCCAAGACAGAACTGCCTCCTGGCTTAAAATGCCAAAATCAAGTTAGCTTTTTGTAGAGTGAACTAACTCCTTCAGACTTTTATATAAAAACATATGCAAGGTTCTCCAATTGCTAGGGCACTCGATACTTAATTTAGTCTATATAATTTTAAAGGAATTACTTTATATGAAAGGGAAAACATACTGTTTTATTTTAAAAATGGAGGATACAAATGACTCAATTATATTTGAATAACCAGACCATGAGATTTTTAGCAATATGTCTGAATTATAGAAAATTTGAAAAAAAAAAACTAATAACATATAAACACACCACCCTCAATATAAACTATATTATAATTCTCTATATTTTCTTTCTGTTTTTAATTAATGATATTGAATATTAAAAATATGTAAGCAAATTTTATAACATTTCAATATATATAGAATAAAAATAAAACAAATCTCACGTATCTAGTACATATCTTAAGAATGTTCCCAGAAGATGGGAAGACATGAACATACCCAATTCTATCCCAGAGACATTGATAGCCTAATTATTGAGTTCATAACGTACTTTGTAAAAGTTTTAGACAAATGCATGTATTTCCCCAGAGTAGGTTGTATAACTTTACGTGTTTGAATTATATGTGTAAATTCTCATATGAATTAATTTTATTCTTCTTGTATTCTTGATATTATTCCATGGTTGTAATCATTGTTCATTCATTTTCACTGCTGTATTCTATTCCTTTGTGTGACTATTTCAGATTTAATTTATCTAGCTAGTTTTCTAATTAACACTTATATAGAAGGGGGCACTCCATTTTTATATGCTACTTTTGTTATTATATCTTAGTATCAAAATTATGTTCTATGTTGGTTATTTTAAGCCTTACATTATTTCGGTATGATCAGTATAATACATGATAATTTGCCAAACCACTCCTAGGTTGGTTTTATCTTTTTTATTATTATAATAATAATGAGATAAGCACCTTTTTCAAACTACTAGTTTATATATTTTCTTAGATGATCTCTTAATATACATTTCCAGAAATTTAATTACTGGGTAAAGAATATTTACATTCCTCTTCCTCATTGTCCTCAAAGTCTCTCAGTGTCTGAGCATATTTTAAATAATGTACTACGTTATTTAAAAGTAGCGTATATTATTTGAAAATTAACAGTCTTGAGTATTTTCTACCAACTTTATATGCATACTTTTCTTTAATAAAGTATAGATCTATTATATATGTATTTTAGTACCCGATTTAAAAAAAAATAATGATATTTTGTTGCATCATTAAAAAGTCTTCAAAACATTCATTCCAATGGCAGCATCTTGTTTGCTACTAGAGAGGCAATATAATATAGTCAGCTACTTAGAAATTAGATTGTTTCTGAGTTTGTATTATTATTATAAATACTTAAATAAATTTCTTCAGTCAGAAGTGGGATAACTTGTTAAAGGGTAGTAAAAGGATAGTATTAGCTTTACATTTTAAAAAATGTATTGATATCTTTACAATAGTTATAACAATTTCCAATTCTATTATCAATGCATAAGAAGGCTGATTTTCTCATACTCATTCTTGCTAACATTTATTTTTGCTTTCATTTTTAATAGATGTTTTAACTGGTAATTGGTAAACCTGGTATTTTATCGATTTAATGTGTACCTGTGTGCATGTATATTTTAAATAAGAATGGTAACTCTTTTCCCTTGTTTTCTTTAATCACTTCTTTTAGTCATTCAATACCTACTTTAAAGTTTTTTTCTACTGTGTTTTCCTGTACTATAGACAACTTAAAAGTGAAAACATTTCACAGGTGGTCATATAGCCATGGTTCTGGTTTTGACTTAAGTGCCCCAAACAGATGTATGAGCTGAGGTTTGGAATATGGAAACGAGGCCATCTTTCGCTGATCTGTTTGTGCTCATCCAACGGAGAACTCAAGCTTTTCCACACTGACCTTCTCCCCTGTGTATATCAAAGAGCAAGAAAGAGGGTGTCTTTTTGTTTTGTTCCGTGATGTTTTGCTTGGTTTACCAGTAGGCTACTATTGGTTGTTACATGTTTCTGGAGCTAACAGCTGTGGTGCAAGCTTCCTGGTTCCTGGATCTCAGCTCAAAGGATGTGTTTCTGAAGTTACCATTGCCATTGGTGGCATCCTGATGCCCTAGCTTCTGACTTTGGCAGATGTTCCAGCTTTAAGCCAGGTTAGTTTGATGATGGTTTTTGAGCAATGTTCTGAATTCCAGAATCTGCTGCTTCAGGCTTTTTAATGATTTTGTAAGCACCTGTTTGCATTTGACCCTCCGTGTTTAAAATACCTAGGACTATTTCTTTTCTTATAAATGTTCCCTGATTGACACTAAATTAGGGATGATTGAAACTTATGAAACTCTGATCTTACACTTCTCCCCCAAAATGTGTGCATATGCATGTATGATTTTATTTTTACATGACACGCCATAAGTTCCCAAGTGGTAACCAGGACAGTTTAAAGGTTGGTTATACACATATGTACACACACACACACACACACACACACACACACCACTTCTATCTTGAGACTTCTGACACAGACCCTCAATTTTCCAGAGGATTTACTGAACATGAGATCTGTCATCTCTACATACCCAATATTTTATGTACAATTAGAAATAAAACAAAATACTAAAATGCACGTTTTATAACCGTTGAGCCTCTTGGTTCTAATTTAAAAGTATCGGCTGACCGGCGTGGCTCGGTGGTTGATCATCTACCTATGAACCAGGAGGTCATGGTTTGATTCCCTGTCAGGGCATGTGCCCAGATTGCAGACTCAATTCCCAGTGTGGGGTGTGCAAGAGGCAGCAAACTATAACCACTTTAGTGGTCTCATTTCATAGTTCTCAGCAAGCACATGACAAAAAAAAGAATACAAAATATGGCAGGACAGTGACCAAAGAGAGACAACTGATAGAAATAAAAAGCGTTGCTATGACAAAATGAAGACAAATGGACATTATAAAAAGCAGTCATCATACCTTTAAAAATTATGGCATTTGGGGACATTTAAAGAGCAATAGTATCCAATCAGACACGATTTCTAAAAGGGCCATTCTACTATATATGATTGTAAAGACCCCCAAAGACCTTAACTAATTTCTGTGAAAAAATGTAAACTTAAAAAAGTCATTTATAAAAAAAATAGATTATTTAAATAAAGAGTAACTAAATTGCTCTACCATATTTCAAGAATAAAATTAAGATATATCTATTAGAAGCTTTTAAAAAATTATTTAAAAATATGAATTAGCAAAGCTCCATTTACCTGGAACATTAAATAATAAAATTAATTTCACTTCCCAATGATACTAAATAAGGTGAATCACTGCTTTGTGTAAATTTCTGTGACCTAACCAACATACCTCTTACTAGTAGAAGCATCTTTTTTTTTTTCTTTTTTTTTTTACTAGTAGAAGCATCTTGGTTCAGATAAGAGAAAATCTGGTCAACCAATGATTTGAGCTTAATAGACCACAAACATTCTTTAAGGAATAAAGAAAAGGGTCTTCCTCAAGGTCTTTCCTAAAGTATATTTCCAGGACATCCATAAATTTAGTCACTCTACAGCCCACTTAGTTTTCTCAATCACATTGTCAAACACACGCATGCACGCACGCGCGCGCACATTCACAAACACATGCACAAAACCACTCAATACTGATTTTGAGAAAATTGACTGCCACATATTTGCAGTCAGCTTTCACTTGATGAAGTCTCATGTTATTATGGATGTTGATGCTGCTAATTAATACTAAAAACCCTATTCTGTAGCAGTAGCTGTTGGCAAAATGTTTGATTTTGACAACATACTTTTGCATGACCTGCCATCACTTCCCAAGTTGAAGCCAGTCCTGCAGCGACAGGTCCGTGTTTTGTAGCTGCTGCTGAGCAGACAGATGTGCGAACATCCCCCTGGCATTCCATATGGATCCACTTCACATGCATGGCTTCTGACTGCAACAAATAGAAACAGTACACTTGAAATTCTCCAAAGACAAGTTAATTATGTGTATCAGTATGTGGAATTGTTTTACAGTATAAGAAGAAGAATCTTAGCACAAAACAAAAAAAAACACAAAAAACAACAAAAAAACACAAACCCACACATACCCAAATACCAAGCTATTTAGTACCAGAATCAATGAGAGAGTGTAAACTCCATAGAAAAGAGATAGGGATTTGCAAAAATCCTCCTTTAACTACATTTAAAAAATAATTCTGAGATATAATATGCTATTATATTAAACTGTTTATATGTAAGCAAATTTAAACTATTTTGGTGCATGCTTATTGTACTATATATATGAAATATAAAAGGTATGGTAAAAGTATTCCAGTTAGGTTGTTAAGTAGAAAAGGGATTTATTCATTATAAGCCATAATTATCTAACCTAAACTAAAGGTAATTCAGTGATTATCTTTACTGAAGACATTGCCATTTTGAGAACTCTCTTACAAAATGAATTGGGGTGTGTGTGTGTGTGTGTGTGTGTAACTGAAATTGCCAAAAGGAGGAGGCTGAGTTTGCATGTGGAGATAGAGGAATAGAAGGTCATTTTATAAATGTTGAAGCTACAGAATAAGAAAAAAGAACAGGAAAAGTACCATATGGAGAGGATGAGAAACAGGATGATGAGTCAGAGAATGGGCTGTAGTAGGAAAATGTCAGTAAGATTTTATGTATTATTGTAACTATACTGATTTTTGAGCATCAATTACTTGGAATTGCAATGAATAACATGGCGATTTTCTTTTCATAATAAAACTGCTACACTTTTAGAAATTGTGCCACAATTTTTTGTATTCACTCAATTTTATCTTTTCAGTGGGACTTCCTCTGACCATTTAATATCAAATTGTAAACTAGCCCTATCCCTGACACTCATAATCCTTATGGGCTTAATTTTTCTCATATGTTAATGTTCAGATAATTATAGTGTTAATTTGAAGGATAAAAACATGATGAAAAGTTTTGGTGGTGGCCTTTGTATTTTATATTTTTCTATACTAGAGGCCCGGTGCATGAGATTTGTGCACTAATGGGAGGCATGGTCTGCCGGGATAGGCCACTGAGGGAGCGCTGCACATCTCTGTCTGCCGAGCAGCTGTGGACCCGCCCTCTGAGGGTCTGCTCCCTGTTCCGGCATCTTCTGTGCAGCAGGAGCAATTGCCTCTCCAGGGGACCCAGTTGGGACAATAGCACTGAGTAGACCTCAGTCCCATGGCAGCCATGAACCTGCCTCCCAGTCTCCAGGATCAGCTCTGCAAGCACTGTAGCGTGACCTAGGGCATCTGGAAGAGGTGGCAGGAAGTGAGGAAGAGGAGCCTGGGGTGAGGAGGTGATGATTGCAGCCCAGGTTCCTGCTCCTAGGCCCAGGGTTTGCAGTGGGAGCAGCCACTCCTCCCGGTCCGCGCAGTCTAGTCATTAAAAATTATTTTTAATCAATATCCATTAAAAAAACACCTTAGGATGTTAAGTCAAAAGACCCCAATGATTGCAATACAACTGAACCAGTACTGTACAAAAGTAACCTGATTTGAAATTTCTCTCCAAAAGATACTAAAAAACTCTTAGTATCTTAGCATCTGGGTTTCCTGACTACATGCCTGATGACCGAAAGCTCCTTCCTGAATCTAAATCTAGCTCTCATTTAACTTTATGCTTGTAGAAACGATTCACCAGGAACTGAACAATTTGTCATTTAAACTTGAGAAGGGAGCTCTATCCATTGTGTCAAGCAGACGTGCACTTTTGTTAATCAAAACAGAGAATTTATGATTGTCCCACTTTAGCATAATACAAAGGCACAAGCACCATAACTCCATCCAATTCACCAGCATGAAGTCTATGAAGACATCTGGCATCTTACCTATAGGTTGAGTTCTTTTGTGATAGATGACCATAACTCCATCCAATTCACCATCATGAAGTCTATGAAGACGTCTTACCTATAGGTTGAGTTCTTTTGTGATAGATTCGGAGTCCTCGAGCATTTTCCATTTTAATGAACGAATGCATATCTGTGGCATTAAATCGGTTTATCCTTATGATGTTGAAGTTATCAGAAATGGTTGCATATAAATAGTCTTCAAACACAGTTATACCATAAAATTGTCTGACCTATAAAGAGGGACAAACATAACTAGATTTTTAATTATGCTGCTTTCAACTTCAAAGAAAAAAAGATTGCTGTGTACTAGTCTGAACAATTCCCTCAGTAGCAGAGTCACATCATATTATTGTTCATTTACTCTCAAAAAATTCAACACTGTACTAATTTTAAAAATTAATCTGAGAATAAAACATGCAGTAGTGGATATAGCAGTTGCAAATACATGGGAGAAAATTTCATTCAGGTTTCATTAAGAAAACATGCTCAGGAGCTACTTTTTGAAAGCTAGCAAGAACCAAACCTTTAAGTCTATTCATTAATATGCAGATGGCACTGATATAAAATTGGAGGTGCTTTTATGGGCTTTTTGCTCATATAGACATGGATATGTAGAATCTTTAAAAGCATAGTTCTGTCTGTGAAAGAACTAATGCTAAGGTACTTTAAAAAATTCATTTTATAAATTAAAAATCCCATTTAAAAAATCCCAAGTTACGATTAGATTAATACTTGCCCAGCATGGAAATAATAAATGATGAAATCACATATTTGGAGTAAGGGTAAAGAAAATGTCATCATTTCACTAAGAAATCACATTCTTTCTAAAGCCTATTCATAATGGAAATGGAACTGTTTGCTTGAAAGTAGCAATGCTTATTGCTCTCCATGATGCTTTAATAGTGGAAATATCCTCCTTGGTAGGGGTCTTGAAGATGGTGGGGAAGAATAGAAATCTTGAAGTCAAGGAAGATTTCCGGTAAAATAGAGAAATAATGAGTATACTGGTTTTCCCCTTAAAGGCACATGCTAGGCCTTTGGGTATTCCATGTGTTACACTTAAATTAAAATGATTCTGGCTCAGGATATGGTAGAGCTGTCAATTGATTTTCTGTAGAAATTTTGATACAGAAGCATTTGTCACTATACTTTGGTAACATATTGTATTTTGGGGCATTGTATTTTGATGTATAGATTTATAGTTAAGATAACTTGAGAAACTATGTATGGTTTGACTGTAAAAATATTTAGAGAACATATTATAGTTTTTCCTCTTTTAATCAGGAAATCTTGTTAGGTCTGTATTTTAAGCAAAATCATTGGATTTTTTTTTTATTTCTCAAGCATCTATGATTCATCATTACTATTTCTGATCTTCTCATGTGAGATATGAGTAGAAGATTGCATGTTGTTTTTTGTTTTGTTTTGTTTTACCATATCTCATTTCTTCATGTCTAGGCTAAAAGTGAAGGAGAAGAATTAATGGGTTGAATCATTCAATGATAAAGTGCAAATAATCTTTTTTTTTTTGTTAGCGTAAGTTTGTGTGTGTTTGTGTGAGCATGCATGTATATACTAATATATTTTCAATATAGCTGACATCATATTAACTAAATATACCTATGGCCCAATTTTGCTCAGGGAATTTTTTTTTTCTATAAAAATTACAAACCAGCTGAACTCTTCCATTACCATCATTCTGATGCATGTTTGGCTCAAAATTTGGGGCCAGTCATCTAGGAGTGTTTGGTTGTGATATACCCACATTACACTCTACACAACTGACAATCCACATCCCATGACTACCGAGGGGGCATTTGAATTCATCAGAGTAGAAAACATGTGCACAATAAGAGGATCAAATTTTACTCACTGTCTCCCTGCCTGCCTTCAGAAGGGTCTGCTCCCCATAAAGTAAGGACATGTTGCCTGCTCTGCTAACTACTCCCAGTAGAGGTGGGAGGAGCCTAGAGTGGTGAATAGACCATTCTTCCTACAGCCCAAATTCTTCACAAATGTATCTGTTGGATTACAGAGTGGCCAACTAATTTACATGTCGGATTACTTAGTGGCAGGCCAGCAAAACCAAACAATACAAAGGAAAAAGTAAACGGGTAATAAAAATTTCAGACATTCAAAAACTTTATAGTCATGGAAAAAATAATTTGAATTCCTTATTCTTGTTTAAAAATTTAATTATGTATAGGTAAAAAAGCAGGTCCATCATAACCATTTTAGGACAGTTGAAGGTGAGAAATATCTGGCCTCAACTCTAATATTGGAAACTTTAATTTTTTTTTTACCACCCAGCTTAGTGCATTTGTTTATTTTCCAAGGAAAAGGAAAGAATTTCATTGTCAAAAGTTAATTAGAAAGGAAAAGTAACTTAAAGGGATAATTGCAGAATATTTTTGCTTTGCATTGCAAAAGAAAAAGATTCATTTTGCTAGAATAAGATTCTCACATGAAATTAGTGCAATAAGTGAGGTAAAATTGAATTTGAAAAGCTCTACTACTGAATAAGGCTCATTTCAATTTAGAGATTTCCTGTGAGGTGTTTATTGACTGTTATTTGAAAAAATAATCTTGTAATCCAGCAAGGGAGAAACTATACAGTTTTGACTATCTGTATAGTTTTTGAATTCTGTGAAAATTATGAATTCAGTGAAAATTTATTTCAAAATTTTTACAGAAATCTCATTTTAGGAAATACTTGAATATACCAGAAGGAAAAATTTAATCCAACCTATTAAAGCAGCGGTTCTCAACCTGTGGGTCGCGACCCCTTTGGGGGTCGAATGGCCCTTTCACAGGGGTTGCCTAAGACCATCGGAAAACACATATTGAATATATAATTACATATTGTTTTTGTGATTAATCACTATGCTTTAATTATGTTCAATTTGTAATAATGAAAATACATCCCGCATATCAGATATTTACATTATGATTCATAACAGTAGCAAAATTACAGTTATGAAGTAGCAACGAAAATAATTTTATGGTTGGGGGTCACCACAACATGAGGAACTGTATTAAAGGATCGCAGCATTAGGAAGGTTGAGAACCACTGTATTAAAGTAATACTTTTGGAAGCAGGCATTTGCTTTTGTTAGCAAAATATCTCCAATGACACATGGAACAAATCCTAGTTTGGTTGTTTTTTTAATAAATAAACTACTGAAATTAGTGTTTAGTAAGTGGGCCACAACGTCTGTCATATTTTAGTATTTTCCTTTCTTCCTAATCTAGCATTTTTGTTTTGGTTGTTTGGTGTTCCTGTTTTATTTGCGTTGTTTTTGCTTTGTTTTCTGTGCTTTGTTGTTAATACAGGGAAGGAAACAATGAGAGCCATAGCCAATATATAGAATGCACTGTGAAAAGAACATTCTCCCATCTAGGAAATACATCATAATTTTATGACCCATTGAAGCTTAACTTCATGAGGGATTTTTCATCATTGAGGTTTGGGGCCTTCTTCTTACTGTGATAACATGCATTTTATTACCTTAGCTGTATTTTCTAACAAAATTATACTTACTTGTCTGCCTTGAATAATAGTATGTCTGTTCTTTCCTTGGTAGTCCACCACTTCCACGTAGTCCAAGTAAAGATCTACCCAGTAAACCAATTTGTTGACTAGGTCTAGTGCCAGTGCAGCTGGCTGCTCTGTCTTGGAATCAATTATCCTGGTTCTGTTTATGCCATCCATGTCACACCGCTCCACTTTGGCCACATTCCCGTAGTCCGTAAAGAAAAGTTTTCTGTTGAAAGAAAACTAAATGTTAAAGTCGAGGAGGGATGAAAGCATAGTCAATAGAACCATCTGTAAAAAACAGAACTTTTCCTTCTAATTTACTTCACTGGTTACATCTGTTAGCTTCCCATAACCATTTACATATAATATCACTCATAAACAGAGAAATCTGTTAATGAATATTGCGGGGCATAAGGGAGCAGGTTAACCAACAACTGTAAAATTTCTCCAAAACGAATGATTATGGTGGGTTTATTTTCGTATTAGGGGAAATGTTTCTTTAAGCCTCATAGAGCCCATACACATACAGCACAGAAGACGCACGCAGCCCGTTTGGTGCAAGCTTGTGCCGCGAGCCTAGTCACCAGGCCAGGGCACGTGAGCTATCAGGCTTTATCTTCAACCTGCTTTTCAAATTGGCTGGTACTGTCTCTCTCCTATAAAGGCTATTATGTGGAGCTCAAAGATGCTACGCGTGGTTGTGAATCGCAAACCTGCGGTGGAATTAAGCAGATGGAAAAAGCAAATGTGTTGTTTGTAGCAATGGAGATAAAACATACATAACTCCCCCAAAACCAATCCCAAATTCTTCCAAATATTCCCCAAACACAAAATTTCATGAAAGAAATGTGGGCCATTTCTCCTCATTTTCTCCTTCTGCATCTAGAAGAAAAGGCCGAAAAGCAATGTTGACCTCTGAGACAAAAAAACAAACAAAAAACCAAAAACCAATTCTTCCATGAAGAACTAACAGTGTCTGTCAAAGGTTGAAATACCTCCAGCACTTGTGTCTAATATTTAATTAGTATTCTGTACGTTTAGTAAACACAAATCAATTTCAGTTAGGCTGACAATATTTTAACAAGATTACCTATTCTTGAGACTAAATTACATTTGTAAGTAGAAGACCATTTGCCTTGATGTAAATACAATCTCAAGGATAATCTGATTTACAGTGACTGAGCAATATTAAGATTACCTAGAGTACAGAATATTTGATTTTACAAACTCGGTGAATTAGTTTTTGGTTACTTTTCTCAACATCCTTGTATTATCTAACAGCATGGGGTATCTTTCAAGCTTAAAAGTATTATTTAACTTTAATTTAGCTCTCTCTGCTATGGGAGGCTTTGACTAATTGTTAAACATTAATGCGCACTATTCTGTGATAGAGCCAGGTTTTATCATGAGTATATATTTCACCTAATGTTCTTGAAAGATCAATTTATCACAGTGAGTTAAAAATTATTTTTCATGTGACATTCCATTCAGGTGAAGAGCTTCCTATTGTAGTGGTAAGTAACTAAAAGAGCATATGGTGCTGTCTTATTGTCATGCTAAATGCTCAAACCTCTGTTCCTAAACATCTCTCTCTCTCTCTCTCTCTCTCTTTCTCTCTCTCTTTTCTTGCTTCCATTTTACATCTCCTCTTTCTTAATTTTCTTATAGCTATCTCAAGTCAAGTTGCTATAAGGAGTACCCAGTTTCTCTCTCCCTTTCTGTAGAATACTGCCCATTATTCCTGTTATCTGAGGCTCTCTTTCTCACCCTATACCAAATGCATCTTATTAAGTTTCTCTTTTAACTTGTCCATTTCACAGAACTGAAAAAATGCTGATGTGCAGGTAGCCTGGCTTTGGACACAGAGCGTTGGAGGCTCTGGCACACTACGTCACACGTGACATATACATACATACATATAGATAGATAGGTGATAGATAGATAGATAGATAGATAGATAGATAGATAGATAGATAGATAGATAGATGATAGATAGATGATAGATGAAAGATAGATAGATACAGGTAATGGTCAAAAAATTAGAATTGAATCTCATAGAGTCTAAGAGAGAAAAGTTCCAGGATAAAGGAAAGGGGTTCTGGGTCAATCACTTCATGAAATAAAGAAAAAAAGAAAAAAATGAATATAGATAAAAAGATGCCCCTGGATTTGTTTTTTCTTAAAATACTAGAAAGTGTGGTAATTCTGTTTGAGAATTTTAATTATAGAAGAGTGGACCAGATTATGATGAAGGAGCTTAAGAAAATTTAAATTATTTGGCCAAGGTTTTCATTGATATTGACCTACTATTGTAGGAATGATGCAGCGATTCTTATACGTATCCCAGGTTATAATATAAATGGTTGAATAAGTTTCAACCAAAGTACGGGGAGAAGTATAAATATAAAATTAATCAACATTTTACTGTTTTAATGAAAGTAAAATCAAAAGACTAGGAGGACTTTGGGTATGTGAAATGGCACTGAACTACAAGAGACAAGGAATCACCAGCAGACAGCAGATTAACTAGTGCCCAGTGGAGACATAACATATTTTTACACTAAAATTGAATCTTTACACCAAATTGAACCTTCTCAGACTTCAGGATACTGACTATGATGAGCTCTGTTCACTTATAACTGAAAAGCAAGAAATGGAAGAGTTCTCCAAAGAATAGCACTGAAACCATAATATTGCTAGCATCAAGTACCCATGGTCACATGATTACATAGATATGTCTTTGATTGTCTGAGTACCATCTAATTTTATTTAAAAATGTCCTCCTATAGTTATAGAGGAATGCTCCATTGTCAGGGCATTCTTTAATTGAGGGACTACAGTGAATGGCTGCATTATAATTAATAAACAAAAGCTAAAGTTTTAAATGATCTAAATTCTATATTTCATTGGTAATGGAAGTGTAGCTTGACTGAAAATTACTCGTTTCTTTCATATAAAATATATTTCCAAATCTGAAAAAAAGTTAAATAGTGTTCAGTGAACCCCTTTACCTCATTGACCCTTATAACTCTCTATGTAATAGAAGGAGCAGATTATTTTTTAAATATATTTTTTATGGATATTGAGAGGAAGGGAGCAGGAGAGAGAGATAGAAACATCAATGATGAGAGAATCATTGATTGGCTGCCTCCTGCATGCCCCGCACTGGAGATCGAGCCCACGACCCAGGCATATGCCCTGATTGGGTATCGAGCCACGACTAGCTGGTTCATAAGTTAACGCTCAACCACTGATCCATGCTGGCTGGGCCTGGCGTGGTCAATATTTTGATGGCAAAATACAAGGCCCTCCTCTCTCCGCCTCGTGTGCACACTTGGAGGGGATTTTTCTTTTAAATTGCCTTTGACCTGTTGTTCCACCTCATTAATGCATCCCAGCATTGTTGAGATGTACTTTGAAGGGTGTTATTCATTGTTATCCATCAAGAAAAAAATAACACCTGCTGAGTTTAAATGACTTACCTTTAAAAATCCAATCCAACATCATCTATTGCATTTAATTGCCTTTTCTCTATCTGTACTCCTTTAATCTTGAACAGAAAGCCTTCCAGTTATTCATGATGTTACCATTTCTAAAGGGTAGATATGAGTAGTTTTGAAGAATATTCCTAATTTGAGGTGTGTTTTTTTTTTCACAAATAGATTATGTTATGCCTTTTGAAATGAAATGCAATAATTTTGTAATTTATCATCACTGCCCCTGGGCTTAGAAACCTTGGGTAAGCCTGTGCTGTATCCCAGAAATCCCATGAAAAGAAACACAGATGGTAGTTCGGAATCTCATTCATTCTATCTAATTCACTGTTTATGAACGTTTAACTCTACTAGCCTCCAGGATCCTCAGTCACCCTTTCAGCATCTCTTCTCCCCAGGATCCAAGTATATCATGTTGCTTCTAGTATAGCAGGGCCCCAAGTGCAACGCTCTGCCTGTGGATGGTGAGATCATTCCCAGATCTGTCCCAAACCCCATCCCCACAGGACTGTGACACTGACGTGTCTTTTCTCCCTGTTCTCTCCTGTGGCATCAATTATCTTTTATTCTCTAGCATTAGGGAGAAATTAAATTGAGATTGCTATTCCCTTGTTCTTCACTTATTTTTGAATGTCATTCCATTTGATTCACATTAACAAAAACAAATAAAAGAAATTCAACTATATCCCAACTACTGTCTCCATTTCTAAGATGTTTAATTACACACACACACACACACACACACACACACACACACACACATATAAGCCCAGTGACAGAATGGCCGAATGACCAGATCAACCAGTTGACCAGCTGCTATGATGTGCACTGACCACCAGGGGGCAGACACCCAATGCAGGAGCTACCCCCTGGTGATCAGTACACTCCCACAGTGGGAGCGCTGTTCAGCTGACCGGAATGAGCGGCGATCTCACAGTGGGAGCAGCTGCTCAGAGGACAGGTCCATAGCCGCTCAAATGACGAGGATGAGCGGTGCTCCCACAGCGGGCGGATCCCTGCAGGCCATGCCCCTCACAAATCTGTGCACTGGGCCTCTAGTTTGTTCATAAAGAACAAAAAGACTTCTTTCAAACTTTCAGCTATGCATCCTGTTCACTATTCTTATAATTCAGCATCTGTAGTAAATAGTTTATCATTTTGGCTTCCTTATTTCATCAGATATGGGAAACTGATTTTATCTGACATTTTTGTTGATTATAAAAGTAGCCCTGTTTTACTATAGAGATATCAGATTTATACTGTTGAAGATAGTAAGAAACTTTGGGTATTGTTGGCAAACTTGCCTGACATAAATCAAAAGTCACAAAGGGAGCACTCAGAGACAGTGATAGAACACCATGCCTACAGTTATGGCTCCCATCTTCCCCACACACTAAAGCAAACCGATTTTTACACACACTGACATCTTAAAGTGTGTGTTTTTTAAGCTGATAAAAATAAGACTTAACTATTGCTAGAGATACTCATTTTAAATGATGTATTTTTGTGGTTTTGTACTTTGTCAAAAGGACAAAGGTTAATTTAAACACAACAGAGTCCAGTCCACATCCTTTAACTCCATAGTCCACCCTGGTTTCCTGTCATCATTCTTACTCCTAACATTTTGGACATGGTTTAATGATGAAATTTAGAAACTTTGAGGGCTCTCACAATGAAATCACCTACTATTCATTTTATCAGTTTTAAAATGAGGTTACATAAGATATTGAAGAGGAAGTAGGTGAGAGAAAAATGAGACATAAAAGTAGGGGTCATATTTTGCCAGATTTTTAAAAAATCATTATTTGATTAAGGCTTGTAAACCCCGCATGTTTATTAATCATGTGATGATGTAGAAAACTGTATTTCTTTACATTTTAGAAAAATGATATATATTTTTCTTAGCAAGTATTGCAGACATAAGACACTGGGGGATAGGGGAGGCCAGGGGATTGTCAAGGACGGGGAGAAAAAAAGGACACATATGTGATACCCTTTGTAATTTTTTAAGCAATAAAACAATAAAAAAAAAGAATTGCATTTAAGTCTTGTTTTTGAAATCAACTTATTATCTACATGACATCAACAGTAATACAATTGTATTTTTTCTTCCATTGTGTATACAAAAATTAAAAAAGAAAGCATTTTTTCAAATTATATAGAGTAATTAAAGCATATTCAAAATTAAAGTAAGAATATTAAATATTTAGCACTGTAATCCTAAAATGCAATTGAAAATCTGAAAGATTAATCAATCTTTGGAGTCAGAGGTTTAAATTCAAATTATATTAGCTCCCATTAGTTAAGGGAAGTGCATAATAAACAAACTATTTTTTCTGTCTAGTCAAGAACGTTCAAGTCAGTTACTTACTGATTTATACTTTGGGGGTTTTTGCTTTCTTTGAACACACAGAAATTCAATTTGACATACAGACTCCTGCTCTCAGCCAGTTACTCTATATTCTGGAATCGTTCCTACTAATGGTTTCCCTGATAGTGTACATGTATTAGATATGTCAGTCAGTGTGGCTGACCCATTCAACATCTCTATTTCTCTAATCCTGCCCCACCAGTTCCTGTTCCTGAGAGGGGCAGCCCTATGTGTCAGTATCATCCCTATCTTTCCTGTTTAGAGATAATGAGATTGAGGAGGAACAGGTAATACAAATGAAACCAGATCATAGTCTGAGCTAAATCACTGGGACCCTTTCTCTCAAAAATCTAACCTAAAAAGTATGGAGCTCAACTAGTGGGAAGTTGTGCTAACATGGTTAAGGTGAGCAGGTGGGATGGGAGTGGAGATGGTAATGTGATGTAGAGTACCTGAGCACAGCGCAGATGCAGAAGTTGGTTAGGGAGCCATGAGACAAAGAGATGGAAGAAAGGAACCACAGAGTACTTGAGTGAGGAATTCACTGCCAATAGCATTCAGAATAAACCCTCACATTCTGAACATTATTGACAATGGTGAGCATGACCTAGTCTCTGTATGATTCCCCCACTCCAATACCTTTCCCAGTGGTATCATTCTATGCTTCTAATACCTTGGCCATTTTTCAGTTCCTTACACAACCCATGTATATTCTTCCATGTTGCATTTCACATATCCTGTCCCCTAGTTTAGAATGTAATTTTTGCCATGCTATTTCAATCTTGGCTTATTTTTCAACCAAAATGTCAATTCTTGAGAAGACCATTC